GTTAAATTCCTCCACAACAATTTACTTTTTTCTGGACAACTGTTATACCTACTTGAAAATTCCTTCGTTGCTTCATAACGTCATAGTCGTTGTTTCTTCGAAACTTTTAATCTCACGATACAAAGAAAAATAGCGAAGTTTTCAGCTGAATCCGTAGCCAGAAGAAAGGCGACGATGAAAAGAGCGACTGATCAAAGTATCACAACAGTCTCGCGAACGAAAAAAAAAACAACAAACAAACAATATACTTACCTTACATCACCTATTTTCACAACTACGTCCGGATCAACATCATAATTCTTCTGCGTGTTAGGTCTTTCGGGCGGTGGCTGACAAGTGAGAGCACGATTTGCTAGTGCAGTCAAATTACACGGCTCACCACCTACGGTCACCAGAATATCTCGCTCTTTCGCTGCCGCATCCAGATATCGACCATTTATTGTAAGATAGTCACCTGGGCGATAGAACCGGATGTCATTAAATTTTTCGACCACCGGATCCGGAAACACCGCCAAGTGGCGCTTCCGGAGGCCACTCATTTGCGACATATTTCTAAAATTTTGTTAAATAAACAGTAGTCAGGCAGACTCACAAGAAATACTGAATGAAATATCCGACGACCAATTACTGATAGTAATAGACGGGGGAATACTTACTCAGTACGAACTCCATCCAGTTCAAAGCCGTAGTCCAGTAGCAGCGGCTCGTCAACAGTTGGATGTTTGCGCCTGAATATATTAACCCGTCAAATGCATAGTTTTTAACACTCTGTTGTTTCTGGACTTCGTTATTCGTTACTTTATGCACGTCAGCTCCATCCAGCTTGATTTTACGTTTCTTTGTTAAATTCAAGTAAGATCTCTCGCTAGGAGGGGGCCCTGTCTGCCTCACCTCCCAGCGAGAGGTCTTACTTGAATTTCGCACCTCAGTCTGATTAAAGTCTGCGATCACTCTGGTGAATTTTACGATCACTGAATCATTTCTGTACCTCAACTTATCATTTTTCTGCAGGTGAACCCTAAAAAAAAGTCCGATGATTAAACCTGTCATGAGGAATTTCCAAGTTTGGTGTTTTACAAAACATTAAATCGTCGTGAACAATGTCACATCGCGGTCCTTTCATTGACCGTCCTTCATCGACAACAATCATATGTGGCCGTTGCAGCAGTTTGAAACCTGTTCCCATAACATTAACAGATATGCCACCAGATTCGATGCTCCGCTCCGGATCAACTTGCGTGAAAGTGGGGTTTTCCCTGGAAAAGTCCAATTCATTTTCAAACAATATTTGTATTTTTAACAATTCTGAAGGGCAAAAGCCCAATTTCTGACATTTTTGGCAATTTCTCAAGGTTAGCTAACTGGAAAACAACCCTGATCAGTAAAGTACTACTAGTAAAAATCATTAATGAATCGAATTCAGAAACGGAAACACCAAAAT